GGTTTGCAAAAAGAGTAACTTCCCTCAGCCGTTATCAAGTATGTGAATGCAGAAGGAGGGGATAATCTGTTTTTCACGTGTCTGATGAATCAGAGAGGTAGTAAAACTCATTTCAGCAAGAAATGCCAGGTTATTCTGTAGCAAACCTTTCTTAAAAGTAAGAATAGTGAAGCACTCTTAATAGCTTGCACAGGGAGGTTGTGGAGGCTCTGCTTATAGGCCTGTGAAATATCCCCTCCTCCCAAAACCTGGGAATATACTGAAATACCCTTTGAGGTCATTCTGGGACTCTTTTTGTGATTAAGTTTATAAGTTTGGCAAAATATGTAGTAGGCACCTGTTATCCCATATTTTGTAGTATGGTATATATGATGTTGCGCTCTCATTTTAAATATAGTAAAGTTCAGGAAAGATTCTGTTTTAACAAATAGTTGAGGACTCTGCAATGTGGTGATTTCTACTGTTTGAGGCAATTCAGAAAAGCATTAGGTATATTCCTTTCAAGCCCAGTATGGCATATAAGTACCCCTTTTTAAAAACAAAAAAAAAACAAAAAAAAAAGGGAAGAAGAAACTTGTATAAGGAGCTGTTTAAGTGTCAGCAGAGGGCTGCTATACACATGCTGGGATTTCTGTCAGTTACTAATGCTGCAGTGAAATGTTTGAGGACTTTTATGACCAGAAACTTATTTAAAAAAATCATTCATATGGAATTATTCTAAGGCTTTCATTGCCTTATCTTTCTCTTCCTTTAGGTTGAAGAACTTAGAAATAATATAGCAAAAATAGCACAGAACGTGGAAGAAGTGAAGAAGCAGCACAGCATTATCCTGTCAGCACCAAATCCTGAAGGAAGTAAGTATCGCTTGTGGGGGGGATTTCACGTGTGTCAGTAGATACTTGGAAATTAATTTTGTTTTAGCTATGCATCAGAGTAGAACTTTAGAGCAGATGTTGAAAAAACAATTTAATGCAATATATTTTGTTAAATATTTCAGATGAAAACATAATGAAAATTTTTACTTATTTTTCTCTTTTAAATTCTCATTTGCATAAACATTTTCACATCTCTTGCATCATCCACACCTATGCTAGTCTAAAACACGGTTTAGTGTGGTGTCTTGAAACTGTGTGTGTTTTCAGTGACTTGGAGACTCCTGGCATTTCTTTTTTCTTTTGGAAAATGTGCAGGTTGTCAACTGAAGTTCACATGGTGCAGCTGTCACCTTCTTTCTTCAGCAGGGGTACGATCCTGTCTAAAGTTGTATGTAGTCCCACCCAGCTGCTTCAGCGATAGCAAGGGTTCCATGTCGGAGCTCTATCTTTAGAGGCTGTAAGCCCATAGCTGAAAATTAAGGTATGCTTTCTGAATAGGGATTTGAAAGCTCAGGGAAGGTAACTCATACTTAACCCAGAAACGTTGGAACCTTATCTCTTTTTCTCAACACTTAATTTCAGGTATGCCTAGGTCCGTAGGGGTTTTTTGTTTGTTTGTTTTGCTTTGTTTCCTTTAGAGAGAAGGAAAGATGCAGGGATATTTTAGAGGAATATTACAGCAGTAGCCTAACTTTTATCATCTTTGTTGGTGAAAACTGAACTTTGGATGTTAACTTTTCCCCATGCTTTGTTTGCCTGTTTGTGAATGGGTATATTTTTGTGTTCTTTCAAATGATTTTGCAGACTGTTTTTTGTCTGACCAATCGCATGTGGTCCATGAGCCTCAGATTAACAAAGACTGTGCCTAGAACACTTCTCATTGATTTTGACAGCCTATAGATAAAGGAACCATAAGTTAACTTCTGTAATATAGTGAAAAATTATATTCCTGCTATGGAGAGAGGAGTTTAATAGGAAGCATTTCTTATAGGTAGGGGAAAAATTACCGTTAACTTTTTTTTTTTTTTTCTCTCTCTTCTGTTTAAGAATAAGAGTTTGGAAGAACAGGAAAAAAAAGAGGTTTGATTTAAACATGAAAGTATTGTTTGTTTTTTGACTTAAACCATAAGTGATTCTTAATGCAATAGTGTGTAGTACACTAATGAGAATATTTTCATGGAAGAGATGTTTTAACTGTTTAACTATTGTGATTCCGGTTTTTTGAAAGCTGTTCATCAAGATTATATTCATGTTAAAATAGTTTTCAGAGGCTCTATAAAGGTTTCGGACCACAACTCTGGCATTTGTCATATCTGCCAGGTCTTAATACAAGATTTAATACTGTTTCAACCTGTAATTATCAGCAAGGGGCAGCCTGCTCATTATTTTAAAAACTGCCAACACCCTTAGTGGAAGATAAATCCATAGAGCCATGGCCTGATGAGAAACTAGTTAAAACAGCAGCATTGCATGCATTTTAAAATCTACTTGTAAAATTCAAATATTCAAAATATCTCTTAAATTGCAAGGGAACATCGTCTTCCAAATCCATCGTGATGGCCAAGACACGGGAGTTATTGGTGTTGTATTTCAGCCAGCAGAGCGAGGGTTACGTAATCTGCAGCAAAGTCAGCTGGGTTCATTTGAATGCTTACAATCTGTGGTCTGAGCTAATCCATTAACCATTGTGTTTGTGCTAAAAACTGTGCTCAGTAACACATCTGAATTGTGTAGGAATGTGACATTGCTTGTAAGTAATTCATGCTCTTGTGAATCTAGTGTCATCAGTAAATCTAAGAACAGAGATCTAGCTAAGCTCTTCGTGGATACTCTGTATAGCATTCTTTAATATAGGCAGTGCATGGTACAGTTATGTTAATAAGGGCAAGATGAATCGGTGTATGATAAACAACAGAACAAATGTATTGTGAGATGAATCCATGTTTTCACTTGATAGACTTCAGTGAACTTTCATTTTTGACTAGCAAAAAATATTTCCCTGGAAGTGTTATGTTCGTTAAACAACAAAAAACAAAAACAAACTTGAAGTATGTTGATTTGGTGATTTGGTAATAACATTTCCCAAGTTTAATGGCCTACCATGACAAATAGAAATCTGATAAAATGCTTTTATAAATATCTAATTTGAAGTACTTACAAGTACCATACCTTTTTTCCCTCTGAATGATTTCACTGAATGTGATTATGGGATTGTAAGGTTGAGTTATAGACCGCTCCTAGCATATGTGGGTTGCATTTAATTCAGCGTTCAAGTTTTTGGGGGATTTACATTTAATGATGATGCACGTTTTTTATTGCCAAGGTCAAAACATCTTTCTCACCCAAAGACGTGTTTTTTGACAAAAGGTATTTGCTCCAAGGAAAAATCAAAGTGGTGCAGCCTCCACTACCACAATGACCAGGTCTGGATTTCCTGGTTCCCCTTTTAAGTTGCTTCTTTGGGCAACAGCAGCTTTCCTCCAAGTGCTAGTGGTTGCCCCTGCGCAAACAGGTGCTGCTAAATTGATCTTTCTCTGTCCACCGCAGATTGCTGAGAGGAAAGAGTAGGGGCAGCTGTAAACTAGTAAAGCAGGATGAATGTCACCAGGGAGTTAAGATCAAAGAACTGATACGAGGAACAAACAGAGAGGTACCACAGCGATACGCTCGGAATCAATAAGAGTCATTTGTGGTCTCCTAGTTTTTTCAGAGTAGAAGAAAATGGCTAACAACCCCAAACGCTAGCCTCACTTTTTAAAAATGGTTTACATAATGGCACAGGCGAACGAAATGAATCATCCAAATTAATTCAGCAAATGAGCCCATAGTATGGTAGCAATGTTGGTTTAAATTCCTGTCGCCATCTTGCCCTTACAGTTGGGTGATATGTTGCAGTGCGAGGTTGCGAGTCCGTGACCATGGTAGTTGGAACATCTTAAGATGATGTTATGAAACTAGGCCTAAAAATCGGATCTCTTTATCTCTCAGTTCATTTTTTTTCAATTGAATGACACCCCTGGGAGTGAATGTTTGCATTTGCAGGTTGTTTTTCTAGAAATTATACCTTTCTTAATGATCTTGCTCATATCACTTACTAATTACTCCATTTCCCTTGGTCATAGGTAGTAAGTGTATAGAGATGATGACTTTAATGTCTTCCAAAAGAGAGACTTAATGATTTGTTATCATTAACTAACGGTTCTGAAAAAAAAATTTTTTTTTAAGGAACAAAGGAAGAACTCGAAGAATTAAATGAAGAAATAAAGAAGACTGCTAATAAAATCCGAGCCAAGTTAAAGAGTAAGTTGGGAGGAGAAATAAAATTGCCATCAAACATAACATATTTAGGATATTAGGAATGTTATATGCTCCTTGCAATGTAGCTGAAACTCTACAGTTTAACAGCTCCGTTATGTACTCATCATTTATATTGGATACCTCTTTCCTGGTAGTCCCCACACTTTTAGAAAATGCCATATATGGTTAATTATTTTAATCACTTTAACACTGAGCCCTACTACAAAATTTTCTACTTTTTGTTTCAGTGTTTATGCAGACTTTTTTTGTCTCTGTTTGCTGTAAGAGTTCCAGACTCAGCTTGATAGAATACTGCTGGTATTGGAGGAGACAAGGGCTATGAGTAATGATCAAAGTTCCTGATTTAGCAGGCTTGGCATGCTTTTATCTTTCTCAAATTCGTATTCAAACTAGGACCCCAATCCCATACCTTATTTTTATTTACACTCCTGCTACCCTCTTATGCAAACTAGGGCCCTTTTTTCTTCTGTTCTTTTCTGAACATACCAACCATAAAAGATCAGGACCATACTGCATTCCTCCTGTTCTTCCTGTAGTGCCTCTTCCACATACCCAAGGATCTTGCCCCATGATCTAAGCTTTATAGCTGAACCTCAGTCTCCTGTAGTTTCTCTCTCTCCCCTCCCCCCAAAAAACTCCCACACGAGAATGATCTCCTTGCCAGCTACTGTACAGCTCATCTCACTCAGTGTCTTCTACTTCATCCCTCCTTGGCATGCTTCTCAGCTGAAAAATACGGGTCTCGGCACTGCCTAATTCATGGAGCAACACAAAGAGCTTGTTTACTTGGAGAAATAACCTAGAAAATTACAACGTGAAGTAATTCCTCTATGTGGAAATATATTCTGCAACCAAAATGCCATTTTTTGGTCATACTGTGTTTTGGAAGAAGCTTAACTGCAAAAAGACAGTCTGCATGGCATAAATGTCTAAGTAGAGAATTGCTTTTAAATTCAGACTAGCGAAATTTGCTGTGGCTTTACTCTGTGGGCGCGTCCTTAATTGTTCAACGTTGGTTTTAAAATGTGTTGACTGTTTGAATGTTACTAGATTACAATTAATGTATGCTTTTTTTCTGTTAGACTTCTGTAAGCACTAGGATATGGTGTTTATCATTTAAACTGTAGGAGCAACCTATTTTGTTAGACTTCTTGAAATGTGTTGAGGTTAATAGATAGCTGTCTGTCTCTTGAGAGCATTTAAGCAGTTACTCTGTTTTAAGATCTGTACCAATTGTAGTAATTCTTGAATTAAAAAAAAAAAGAAGAAACGTAGCTTTTGTAGGGACTGTATATCAAAAAAGTAATAATTAGTAGTATTTACAAAATAACTTTGAGTGACAGTATGGAATAATTATATTGAACGCTGACTTTTATAATATTCTTGTGGTGTTCTTAGCTATTGAACAAAGTTTTGATCAGGGCGAGAATGCTAATCGGACATCAGTGGACCTCAGGATACGGTAAACACAGGTATGATCATGTAACAGGTTTAAAAAAAAAAAATCTTTTACTAAATCAGACAGTGAGTTTCACTTTTTCTGAAATAGTTTCAGAACTTCATACTCTGTGTTCTTGGAAAATTAATACCACTTTTACTGTTGTTCAGTAATATTTTTTGTATTAAAAAAACCCTTTTGTTGCATTTTTTTTTTTTTTTTTAATCTTCAAAAACCAGCACTCGGTATTAGCTCGCAAGTTTGTGGAGGTCATGACAGAATATAACGAGACTCAAATTCTTTTTCGAGAACGCAGCAAAGGTCGGATACAGAGACAATTAGAAATAAGTAAGTAACCTGCACACTTCTTATAAAAGGCTGAATTATGTTGTTAGAACCTCTCTTTGTTTCTCATTGCTTAAAGATGGTATAAGCCATCATACGTCTTGGACATGTTCTTGAAGCATGTGGATGGGAGAGAAAAGAAACAATTCTATCAGGTGGCATAAACTCTGATATTACTCTTCAGAACAATTGTAAAAAATATATATATATATAGAACTCATGAACTAGTTTCTTTTCTGTGGAAAATTATTAAGTAACTATATGCTTTGTTTCAGATATATATAGTGATGCAACTTTAAAAGAAAAATTAAGTTCACATGCAAAAGCTGCATTTTAAAGATACCATGTTCAGTAGCAAGTGTTATTAAAACCTTTCCAGAATTACCATGCGAAGCAGCACTCTATTTCTTATGCTGTTTGTCAATAAGAACATCTGTTGAATTCAGCTGACATGTCAGCAGTGCTGCCATTAGATATACTCTAATTATTTGTTCATTGATTCACATGAACTTATCTCACCATTCAAGATTATGACGGGTATAGAGAAAAGCATCTAACTCTTCTCAGTGGAGCGGATGCTGTAGTTCAGAGCCCAGAAGGTGTCTTTAAAAAAAAACAAAAAACCCTATAACCTTTTGTACCTAAAATTAACCTTTGCAAATATCTCCTGTAAAGATAAATACATATACTGCTTAAATGAAAAACGCAAACAAAAAAGTTAGCAAACTGTAAGAAGGCTCTGCTTTTCACATGCTTCTCATTTTTCATTTGCTTCTCAGGCTAAGCATGCTTTAACTCAGCATTTCAGTGAAGTTTGTTTGGCAAGTTACACTCCTCTCCGCCCCTATGTGGAAACTAAAGCTCTTTCAACTTAATGCTGTTAGGACTCAGTTTGAGACTTTAGCTTGGCACTAACAATTTAAATAAAATTTAAATAAAAAGCAGATTTTGCAGCATTCTTGGGTATTAGCATCAGAGGAACATATTAAAATTGTAATTTTCACTTGATAGGGCAGAATTATGTAAATTACTACAAATCCCTGCCCTTTCCATGTAAAATAAATTGCATGTCTGTATATGATGTGTAATCTTTAAAACTGTACAATAGAAATCACTTGCATATGCTGTGTAACTCATAACATTTGCATTTGTCTTCTCACTGCAATAGATAGGATTCAGTTTGCATAAACACGCAAAAGTAAACTACATAAATTGTCTGGTGTGTAATGAAAAATAGAAATGAGAGTAGTACAAGTGAGGGTGCTCTATGGGCAATCATTTTCTCTGTCTGGAATGTGAATGTAATCTTGCGTTAGTTATGGAAATAGGATTTTTACAAGGATTTCATCCTCCGCACAGAGGAGAGGGGAAGTAAGTCAGATACCAATGTGGCATAACTGAACAGGTGAATATTGACTGCTATATAAATATTGTGTATCTCAAGCCGTTTTTCTGAAGAAAAGCACTCCACTGAACATGGTTCATATGTACATCTTAAATTTATTTGATCAAACTCCTCTATCCCTACAAAAAGAGGGGGGAAAAAAAACTACCCAGAGTTCTTCATCCTAATACTGAATCTAGCATACTTGCTTTCTGACTATCACTTGATATTTTCTGATTTCCCATATGCAAAATGGTACCTTGCAAGTGCTAAAGACTACCTTGTTTTGTCCTGAAAAACAGTGAGTAAGAATTATCTTCGAATTGTTGTCCTTTCTGAAATGGTAACATTTTATGTTGAATAGTAAATAACTTGATATTATATGGTATACTGTTATTTTTATCCTAGCTGGAAAGACCACCACTGATGAGGAACTGGAAGAAATGTTAGAGAGTGGTAATCCTTCAATTTTTACTTCTGATGTACGTATTTTTGGTCCAGTAACATCTGTCATCCATTCTGTTTCTTCTGGTATTTAGATGCATGTCAACACATACCTGTTTATGTCCATATCCTTTTTGTTCCCTTTAAGATTATATCAGACTCTCAAATTACTAGACAAGCTCTGAATGAAATTGAGTCACGACACAAGGATATTATGAAACTGGAATCTAGCATACGAGAACTACACGAAATGTTTATGGACATGGCTATGTTTGTTGAGACTCAGGTAAATGAAATGCACTTTTATGTAAGTGGGATTTTTTTTTTTTAGTTTGAAATAAGTCTTTGAAATAAGCAGAAACAATTGTATTCGGATAATACAAACTTGTTATTTGCAGTGGCTTTGTAGGTATAATGTTTTTGTTATATTCTAATCACAGAGAAAAACTCTTTCCTTGAATGTCAGCTAATATCTTGGAAACTTGCTTAGGATTCTCACAGACATGATAATGGACTACTGTGGTAGAATTAAATATGCATTACGAAGTATGCGTGCAACCCACACGTAATACAAAGATATAATTTCTGTTATAACTAACATGAATGTAAAGGATTAACTGAGAAGTCATCCAAGTAGTCTCCTATAAGATTTTATCTTAAGATGATGTACGTGAATTCATGCTATTTATAGTCTTCAGATACAATTTTCTGACTAAAATACTTCTGATGATAAAATTATTTGACTTCTGCAGTGAAGTGAAAAGACAAATGTTTAGGAGAGAAACCGTTCAATGTAGGTTGAATTATCCTGGAAAGGACGATCAGTTTAACTGGTTCTAGAAGTCTTATGTTACTTTGATATTAAATTTATAGCCATGGAAAATAGGTAGCATTTTTTTAATGAACTAAATATATTTCACATGAAGCTGGAAATGAACAAAAGTTACTTGTGCGTGATTCTTTAATGCTTTGCTGTTTACTGCTGCTGATTATTTCTTCTGATGGACAGAAACACAGGTAATCTACCATAATTTTTCACTGATCCTCCATTTCATTACCAAAGTTCATTCATGATAATTAATTTGAACTTGTTATGCGCTGGCATTCTGAACTCGCATCAGTTGTGAGGAACCTTGCTTCCTGAAGTTACTGCTAAGCGTGTTGTTTTTAGATACCTATTAATCTTCTGTCAAAGAAGTGGCCTGCTTCCAAGCACATGAAGGTTTTCTGACCTTTTTAATATGTCAGTTTTAGATTAGCTCTTAAAACACACCTCGCTTCTAAAGGTATGTTTTAGATGTTCAGAAGGGGGAAATGCCTGCCCTGCATATGATTGTTTCTTGTTGGGATAGAACTTTGAGACCTTGCTTCGCATTCCCTTTTTCCATTACATGTCAATGCAGAAAATGCCAGTCACAATACGTAAAACATTCACTTGCTTAAAATAATTCTTAATATTCTATGGCCTTTTTTAGATTTGTTAACAAGGCTCCAAGGATTCCTATAATAAGACTTCTTTTCTTAAAAATCTCATTTTTAAGGGTGAAATGATCAACAACATAGAAAAGAATGTGATGAATGCATCAGATTACGTGGAGCATGCTAAAGAAGAGACAAAAAAGGCAGTTAAATATCAAAGCAAAGCACGAAGGGTATGCTGTCTTTTTGTAACTGTGCCAGTGTTCGTATTAACTTTGCACAATATGAAGTGACTTAACTGATTTTGTTGTACTCGGTCCTACAAGGTAGAATCAATAAATGTATTTTACGTTTTTGTCGTTGTGGTATTTAAAGTTAGATTAGAAAATATGAGAAATGTTTTGATTTCTTCTGGGTTTTTGGTGAAATCCTTTGGTAAATCTTTCTGTAGCATATACTAATTTATAACAATGCTATAAATGTTGAATTCAATATGTTGAATTAATGTGTAGTAATCATAGTATTAAAACTTGGTATTACCTATAGAGAACAGAAGTTTCTTGTATAAAGAGAATAAATAGTAATTCACACCCAGCAAAGACTGTGAACAGTTTTCCACTGAATACGTTGTGGTTACAGAGCAGAAAACCCTAAAAGAATCATAATGCATTGTGCTAGTAGATAACTCTGCAGGTCTTTTTTAGGAACTATCGTGATAGCTACAATTATTCAGGCTCTAAATAAACCTAAAAGTTTTAAATCTTCAAAACTGGCAAACTTACCTGGATGTGTAGCTATAAAATTACCATGTTAGCAGGAAAAATATAATCACTAGTTTTGATGAAGCAAGGTTACTTTTTAGAATTCCATCTGTAACCTGTTCTTTTTTAGAGAGAACTGCTTTCATACCCTTATAAGGGTATTAAATTGGGGGGATCTTTTCTCTCAAAGAAATATTTATGTATTTGCATAAGCTGTTTTTATGTTTGAATACCTCTCTTCCCATCAGCCAACCAAAAAGATGTTCTGAAGACAAACTATTAAGTAATTTCTTTCTAAACTTTGGACTGCAGAGTGAGTGAAGTGTTCCTTTGATGTCATTTCCCCTTTTCAAATGCTTTGCAATTTTGTGAGGCTTTCTACAATGAGGTGGACTTGAGGGAACAGTATATCTATATATAGACAGATATCTACATACATTTAACATTTGTTAATTTATCTATAACTGGCATGTTAAGCAGTGTCAGCAATCCTATTATATATTCATAACCATAGCTTTTCCTGTTTTGATAGCTGTTGAATACGTTTGAAATGAGATAGCTGTTAGGTATTAATCACACCAGTTTACCTATAAAAACTGTTTAGAAAAATGTTTATGCTTATGCATGCCAGAGTATACGGAAGAACTTAACCTCAGTTTGAGAATACTGTGGGTTTCAATAAAAATGACTGGATCTAAAAGCTGAGTATTTTAAAAATTGAAAATTAGTACAAGTCTTAACATGTTTAATTACAAAACATTGTTTTTTGACAGAAAATATGGATAATTATCATTGTGTCATTGGTGTTGATTGCCATAATTGGTCTAATTATTGGTTTGTCTGTTGGTGTTCGGTGATGCTTGGATAACTTCAGCATGCATGCCTTCCTGCCACTGTGGCAGTAAGTAGCTAATCAACTAATTTTGCTCTTGTTTTGCTCTGACAACTTGCTAAAACAATTATTGTTATACTAACCCTTAATATGTTTACAATTGGCATTGGAGGGGGTGGACTTGAATTGAATTGGTAGATCTTCTCCATCTGTACTTTAAAGGTTCTGTGCATGTGAATTTTGAAAACTGACATCTAGTGGTAAGTTAGAAAATTTACAGAATGCAACCTTGTGGCTTAAGATTTGTCAGCACACAAGAAAAAGTGACTAAACATCCAGTTACTGTCTTGTAAGCCATTCAGTTTTCTTAATATCCTGAAAGTTCACATCAGCAAACAGCCTTAAGTAAGATGGAACACTAGTTACACTTGGAGCGTTATCAAATGAGGTTTTCTGTAGTTTTAAACGGAGCTTTCAAGAAAAGTATATACCTAATACCTACAGCCCTGAAGCTGACCGTTTTACCTTGCAGGTCATCCTAAAATTTCCTGTTTTGAAGCTATTTATTTATACTAGACCTGATGAAACAGTCTGATGTAACAGTGCATATATAAAAGGATATCTGCGAAAGATACTAACCTGAATACGAGGATATGTTTCGGAATTCTCCAGATGTTCAGCCTTTTGCTGAACTAACCTACTGTTTCTTGTGAAAATCACACTGTATCTAATCAGGCTAAGAAGATAGTAGTACTTAACTCTTGTGAGTTCAGCAGAAACTCAACCATATTTTCAAGATAGTACATATAAAAAGTTATAAAAGTACTATGCCAGACATCATTTCAGACAAGTAATCAGGAATTCAGTTGTCTCTACTAGCATCTCTTTAATATCACAGTTTTCAGTTATGGTTCACAGCTATAGTCTTAAATTTATAGGCAGATAGCAAAATTTACTATATTATATTGCTGATAGTCAAAATACCTGACCTGACTTCAGAGTTTGCATAGAGAACACTTTTTTTTTTTTTTTTTTTTTTTTTGGCCTTGCAGTGCTTATGAGATGTTACTATAGTGTTTTTACTGACACTTCATGAATACTACTAACTGCACAATTGTAAATATTTGAGCAGGCTACAGATATTTATCCGAGGAGAGTGGCAGTCAGCGGTGTTAGGAATCTCAGATGTTAATTTCATAAGTATTTAACTTTAAAAGTAGATGTTCATTGCCTTGATTTCTTTAATGATATTAACAAGTTGCATGTGGGTACTAACTGTTCTATAAAGTAAAATATAGAAATGTTACACAGATAGCTATAAGCTGTAACTATCATTACATATGTCTTAGAAAAGAAAGACTACTTACTGCCATAATTTGCTATTTTTTAATCTTTAAAAAGAAAATCCAAACACTTCTGATGTTTGGATTATCAGCATTATTAATTTGCTGTCAGTATGTGTATATTTAAACTGTTATATATCTAATGAAGACTTTCTTTCTCTTTTTGCAGAAAGTGATGTTCATAATTATATGTGTAACTGTCTTGCTTCTGATACTTGGGATTATCCTAGCAACAACACTATCATAACAAGCACATTCCAAGAGTCATGAACCTTCAGAAACTCAAAAAATCATCTTCAGTAAAACCAAACATTTTTCGTAAAAGATGCCTTACACTGTTGCATGATAGTGACCTATCACTAATGGTTAAAATGAAAAGAAAATCACTCTTGATGTTTGCTCATAATTGAAGATCAAAATGTATGAGGATACGTATGGATTTTCATTATAAAATATAAGTTTGTAAGACTGAAACTTGTTCTTAATTGTTTTGAACTAAAGTAATTTAATTTTTTTTTATCTCAGTGTTATCAGCAGTTTAGGGAGTTGAGAGACAATACACTGAACTTTGACTGTTTGGCTTTTTTCCCCTCTATTGCTAATATCATTCTAATTAAGAATTTTAGTACCGTATCAGTGCTGCTTTTGTTAGCACTCTTGTGAACATTTTTATAAGAGATGCAGTTATGTCCTTAAATATAATAAATATTCAGTCACCTTAACCTAAAAATTCTTTTTGCAACAAGTGCTAAAATATTTTTATCCTAAAAAGACTAGTTAGTTAGTTAACTATCTGCCTATTGCATTACTCTTTTTAAAGCTTTTTTTTAAACTTCCAAAATTTTTTTTCAACATGACTAGGGTTAACTGCTTTAAATATTTCTTTGCCTGTATAATCAAAAAGATAGTTGTGATGCTTTTTGGTTTAAAAAAAAAAAAAAAAAGCAATAATGAAGCACACAGAATTTGAACTTTAGCAGGTAATTTTACAAATAATCCCTTTTGTGTAAATGGAACCGATGGATCCATTTAGCCTTACTGCTCGTATGAATGACAGAAATCACACTTTTTCCTATACAAAGCCAAATCAAGATTTCATTTTCAGAAGGCTGCTTATGTTAGTGTGTGAATATAGCACATAGGGACAAATAAACCCCCTCAGAAAACTCCCAAACATAATGCAAACTAAGACACTGATTTGTTATGAAACTTATGAATTATATAACATATATGAAGTGTTTTAGTGTATACATCTGTTGTGATGATAGCTTGCAAAGCTTCGAAGACTTCAAATGTAACCAAATAACTACAGTTAATGTTATAGGTTATTTTTGTATTTTATCTTCTGTATAAAATATTTGTAACTTGAATTTTTGATTTCTCATTATTGTTCAAGGATATCCATGTAGATATGTAGATATATTGACAATGTAAGAGAAATAGAGAAAGTATAATAGATGCCTGTATGAACAGTCTACAACTACACTTGTCAATGTTTCCAGATACTATTTCAACTATAGATAATGTTAACTGCAATAATTCTGTTATAAATGGTTAGAATACTTAAACATATGTTTTGTTGCAAGTGTCTGAGATCAGAATTACTCACTAAAATATAATGCAGTCCGTTTGATTTTCTTCATGAAGTTCAGTAAGGTTTACAATGTGTATTGTACGTATGAATACTCCTGCTTTTGCTGCCCAAATATACTGTGAATATACTGGATCTATTGAGATGTCAAATACGTAGACAAGCTTATTATTTGTCTTTTTCAAGCCAGCAAGAAGTCTCTTGAAAACCGTGAGCTTCTATAATGAACAGATTTCTTTACCTCTAAGTCCAGAACACTCACCAATGGTTGTGAGTAGGTTTACATACAAAGTAAGGAGAGATTGTTTGACTTAACTCATTCTAAGCAAAATATATTTTATTCTATAGTTTTCTAGATTTTTATCAATAGATATTATTTATAGATATACACAAATAAGCTCAAAGAAAAAAATCGGTTTTGCTGTCTAATTGCTGGTTATCTAAAATGGCCCCCAAAATCCAGTCATGTTGAATTTTCTGCTTATAATGCAAGAGTTTGCCCAGCTAGACCAGAAATTTGAATAGGCCACTTGATACTTTTTTTACTTGTTATATAGCTGCCTCAGAATTTGTTTTTTCACATAGACCTCTCTTCTTGTTGCCGGGTTTTTTTCCCCCCCGTTAATTTTGGAGGGAGGAAATCTCTAACCTATGCATTAATAAATTTATCTAAGTAAGTGTCTTGTGACTTTTTATATGTATGATATTATTGTGATGTGTGTTAATATTTCCAGTAAATGTTTAAATAAGGCTAGTATGTTTTAATAACGCTGGTATGTTTTTGTAAACAAATGTCCAACAATTGATATCTGGGCCTTAGAATAGAAGTTTTAATAGTGTGTTTCCTGAAACTCTTAATCAAAGAAAGTGTAGAAATTAACAAATCAGGTGTAGAGATGATACTAAGTTAATGGGATTTACTCATGTAAAGTTAGTTCCCATAGAATTTTACTTCAGCATTAAAATGAAAAATTGAAAAATATGGGAGTTATTTATTGGAATAAAGCTATTCATGTATTCTCAGCAAGTCCTCATAGAAGTGTATTTTTCACTATGCGGAGTTAAAATAGTAACTTCTTCGTTCTTGCCTGCCCCAGCTTTTCAGCTCCAGTAACTGGAAAGTCTGGAATAGCTTCAGGGTTTTGATGTACAGGTGGTTCATGGAGCCCTTCCCTATGTGCTGAAGTTTAAATTTAGTTTAAATCGGTACTTTATTTCATAGTTTTTTGCTGGTGTGGCATTGAGTGGTGTAAAGGCATTCTGAGTGGTGAAGCTCTACCTGCTTTCTCTTGGTAACCTTGCTCCTTTGCATTTCAGCCAGTTGCATGGAACAGGGCCACCTCTGACTGACCTCCCACAGCAGTGGTAAGCAGGAACGAGCAGCCTGCTGGGAGCAGACAGCAGTGGCAGCTGCACGGACTGGAGGTGGGGAGGATTTGCTGCCACTTGCATATGGCAGCTGTCTCCTGGTGCCTCTCTTTCCTCCTCCCCTCCACCCCCAGGTGTCATGTATTGAGCTACGTGACCCTCTCATAGAGTCAATGTGACAGTTGGTGACAAGAGAAGTGTCAGAATGGTACTGCATAAGGGGAAGGGTTAGTCTTGCTTTTGTTGTTGTGTGAACAGCTTTTTCAGAGAAATTTCTCAAAATTATGCCCAAGAATTATGCCCCCGCTTACTTTCATTTCATTCAGTGCTATATTCATATGGAAATTCTTCTTACAATTTTTGTTTCAATTTATCACCAATAAAGATATGCCTGCAGAATTAATACTGAAGGGCTTAAAAGTTGAGAATTGGCCAACTTGTGACCAACTCTAAGATAATTTGGCATATATATATATGTGTGTGTGTGTATGTATGTGTGTGTATATATATATATATATATATATATATGCAGAAAACTGAATAGGAAAGGGAATGTTGAACTTAGCAATTAATGAGACACACTTGTCCATAAAGGCTTAGAAAGAGAAATCTTATCATAGGAAATTTTTTAAATGACTCCTTTTTCAAAATCTGTGCAAACAAATGCAATGCTCAAATGATTTATTAGTGCAGGTAACTCTGTGCTGCTTCTCACTGCAGTGTCAGAAATCCTGTGGGAAAAGCACCAACTCTGAACCCAAATGAGTTCCATAAACTGAACTAAAGCTGTTTCAAAATAATTAATCTTTTTTGCTTCTCTTTGGTCTGTAGTGTAAAATACAGAACAGGTATTTCTAGGCAATGCAGCACCTGTTTAGCATAGCACTACGTTAGTTTTGATGAATACAAGCCTGATAAAATTTGAAAAGTAGAGGGAAATGAGGGAATTGCTGCCTAAGAGAAGGGATCTTTTTCCATATAAAAATAAATCTTTTAATATTACTTCTAGACAGCTGTGATTAATACATTAATCAGAAAAATGAAAGCTCATTTTTGTTTTTAGACCGTTACCCACTAGTAAATGTAATCTGGTGTGTTCTTGTGGGCTTGTATGTGAGTTCTGAAAATAACCATGGCATTCTTCATCATACTACAGTCAGTGGGTCAGCCTTTGCACCTGTGAAGCAACTCAGTCTTTTATGTCATATACAGTAACTGGCTGTTCAGTGACATAGTGCCATTTGCAGACTATTTTAGTTACCCCTGTCAAACATGCAAAGTTCTTTTGCCAGTAGTTAAGCACTTGCAAATCAGCATTTTGGAATAAAAAGAGCATTTTATAAGCACTTATAATTGGGTGCTGAAGAACAAAAGTACTTTTGGAATAAGAATTTTTACAAAGGGAAATATATAGAAATGGTAAGTAGTTACAAAATAATTGTGATGTTTATGTTTTGTGAAGACTGTTTAGTTGCTTTTGTAGGTTATATTTGAATCCATTTATTTTACTGAAGGTAGGGGGAAAGAAGGAGCTCTATCTTCAGTAGTAAATAGCCCTTAGAAAATGGGTAAGTTCAGAATTACAAATAGCTAAAAAAAAAAAACATAGCAGACTTGGTGGGGTTAGGAAGAAAGCAAGGATTATTTTGCATATAAAATTATATTTCATATATTCATACTTAAGAGAGAAGAGAAGGCTATATTTGGTCAACATATGCTAGTTGCTGTCAATTGAAAGTAAACTGAGCTGGACAACGTTAAACTAACACGGAGTGCAACTCGGTTCAGAGAATGTCAGTATGAATACTGACTCAACAGAGGTAACGTTTATATAACAGCTGACTTGACAGTCCTTTTGTGTAATCTTACAGAAAATGGGCAGGCAATTAAAATATATATTTGTCAAGATTATTCAGTCTTATTACATAAAAATGTTAATTTGTTGGTAATTTTAAGGTTTTTACTGTCTTGATGCTTCTATCACATGATAATATCAATGTTTTTTTTTACATTGGGTGAGTTTATTACAGGAATTATATCTGGAATTCCAGATATAGATATGTGGAGGCTGTAGATAAGACGGAGAAAAACTGATGCCTGTATAATGATACTGCCAGCTTGTTGCTTCAGAGAAAACTTTCGCTTCTTTTTTAAGCTTCCTTCTTGCCTGAACTATTAATAGGAGGCTGTGGTGAACGCCTATCTATCATATAATCATAGAGTAAGTCAGGTTAGAAAGGACCTCAAGAGGTCATCTAGTGTAACGCCCTGCTCGTCTCTCTGTGAGATCAGACATGGTTCTCGTGTTCCTTGGTATCACTGAATAAAACACCCTTGATTTGGGTTAAGCTGAATCTTTTAAATATAAACACAAACTTCATTAAAAAGAAAAACACTATTTTTCTGTTATCACTATTTGTATAGTAGCTAGTGTATCTCCATATTCTATAGACTAATGATATTGCCTTTTCGTATGGGGAGTCCATCAAACTAAGTAATGCTTTTGTTAGTCTGAAATTCCTGCGAAGAGAGTATGGCCTTGAAAAGAATGTTCCTTGACCTGATGATGGAAGAAATTGGTTATCTGCAAATATCAATGGTTATTTTGAAGGGCAAATTCCAGACTAAATTTAAAATTTAAGTAAGCTTTATACAGGAAGGGGTGATGGTGATGATTCCTCACCTCACAAATAACCAGACAGATTTCTTCTTTCACTGTGATTCATACTACTTGAAATTTCAAGTGTCTTTGAGTCAGATACTGCTAAGCAGAAGTGAAGGAACTGCAACTATTTGAAAACCTGTTCAGGGTCCTGGCTTCCATTTGAAGGTCAACGTAGAATCAAACACTCATGAGAGTATTAGAGGTGTTTCCCTGCTTATGTGTAGAACTGGGAGGATTAAGTCCCAGTTCTTCAGAGGCACTTAAATGACTCATCCAAGATCACATAGGATGCCTTGGCAGAGCACAGTGTTTGTACTAAGGCCCCCATTGTGGCCTACCTACAAGATCATCTTTCCCTTTGGTTTTCTAAGAACGCAAGAAAGAACGTTAAGAGATACTCTTTTTAAATGTTCATACTATTTGTTAACAGTTACTGCCTAAAAATGGGATTTATGTTTTGCCCACTCTCTAAGCGGTAAAACTTTAAGGAAATTCCATCTTTTCTGAAACAAACCTTTTATTTGAAAAAGGCATCTGCATTTTGATATTATTTTAGCTAGAAGAAGGAAACGTAACTGAAGATATTGTGGAATCTGCAACTAAATTTTATTAGAGCTATGACTTTTCAGAGCTATGCAGCAGTGTTGGGTTTCCCAATTCTTGAGCATTTTAAGTGGTGGATGTCCAAACTAATACAGACAGCTTTAAAATCTCGTGTTTTGAAGTGCTTTACAGAAACAAATTCCACAACGTTATTGTTGGGGGGGGAAACACTGTTTGCACTTTCTGCACTGGGAGGAAAAGTTAACTGAAAGAATTAGTGTTGACACCTACGTTATTTGCATGTCTTCCCCCACTCCCCCAGTATTAAAAGCTTGGATTACATACACCTCTTTGCAGTCATAAGTTATATTAACTGCTGTAAATGAGGGCTAAATTTGGTTCCTCATTAAAAGTGACAGATGACTGATATGGATAACCTCACATAGAAGAAGACATACTGCCATCACAGCCTTGCACTCCAGCATTTGAAGTAGCTTGAGAGTAAGGGATGTCCCATCCTCTGAAGAGAGGGATGCAGAAGCAAGTCTTTTCTTTCAGTAGTTCTAATTCAATATCAGTGATGCATTCAAAAGTCACAAAACCCTTTCCTTTGCTATTAGTCCCATTTGGTGGTTTGGAAGAATGTCATTTCATTTCATAGTTCATCTTCTGAACAACTTGGTGATTGGTTTAGTCATTTTAATCAGCTTTTTTCTCTGCAGAGCTTGTTATCGTGGTTTTTCAGTAGTACTCTTTATACCTACCTCCAAGAATTTGTTTGCGCTATGTTTAATAGATGCTGTGCGCTGGCTAGAATAGCCACAGACTGGGCAGGTTGACTTGTGTTCTGTCACTGCTCCAAGAGAGCAGACTCCTGTTCATGAACTGTGCTGCTCTTTAAAAGTATGGCTAAAGCTTGTTTTGTTCTATTTTATATTTTATATTGGGGAAGTAAAAAGTACATATTTCTAACACTGATGATTGGGTAGGCAAAACCATTTCACTTAGAGCTTCCTCACAACCTTGAATATTTAATGCTGTAACCTTCACTTGGATAGAAATGTCCTCAGAAAACAGAATTAATTCTAACCTTGTTCTTTCAAGCCATTTCCTGGGATTTCTGATTAAGCATGGCTAGCAATTAAGCTACACTACCCTCTACAAAATCAACTTGAATTTCAAAAAAACTCCGCCATTTCCAACAGCATTTAAGTGGCCTTAATAGAAGTAAGCCTCTTGCTTCGTTACTCTGAGTTACCCGAGAGCTTTATCTTAAAGCTAGCTTTGGATGAGTAGGGGAATCGCTTGGAGAACGGTACTCTTCAAACTATGTTGGGTAATACAGCAGGCCTGCTTGAGTTGATGCTTAATGTTCATCTTATTTTTCTAACTGCTTTTGGTTCTGAAGTGTCACAGGGTGCTTCCCAGATAGGATCACTTATCATTG